CTCATCAGGGAAATACAAATCAAAACCACAGTGAGATATCACCTCACGCCAGTCAGAGTGGCTAAAACGAACAAATCAGGAGACTATAGATGCTGGAGAGGATGTGGAGAAACGGGAACCCTCTTGCAATCTTGGTGGGAATGCAAACTGGTGCAGCCACTCTGGAAAACAGTGTAGAGGTTCCTCAAAAAATTAAAAATAGATCTACCCTATGACCCAGCAGTAGCACTGCTAGGAATTTACCCAAGGGATACAGGAGTGCTGATGCATAGGGGCACTTGGACCCCAATGTTTATAGCAGCACTCTCAACAATAGCCAAATTACGGAAAGAACCTAAATGTCCATCAACTGATGAATGGATAAAGAAATTGTGGTTTATATACACAATGGAGTACTACGTGGCCATGCGAAAGAATGAAATATGGCCCTTTGTAGCAACGTGGATGGAACTGGAGAGTGTGATGCTAAGTGAAATAAGCCATACAGAGAAAGACAGATACCATATGTTTTCACTCTTATGTGGATCCTGAGAAACTTAACAGAAGACCATGGGGGAGGGGAAGGAAAAAAAAAAGAGGTTAGAGAGGGAGAGAGCCAAAGCATAAGAGACTCTTAAAAACTGAGAACAAACTAAGGGTTGATGGGGGGTGGGAGGGAGGTGGGTGATGGGCATGGAGGAGGGCACCTTTTGGGATGATCACTGGGTGTTGTATGGAAACCAATTTGACAATAAATTTCATATATATATATATATATGTATATATATATATATATAAATGCAGCCTCGGTGATTAGAAAAAACTGAGCTTCAGCTAGTCATTGAAATCTCAAGGACAGAGACAGGCTTCCCGTGGGATGGGGAAAGGGTTTGGAACTGACATTACCTAGACCTTAAAGGACGATATGATTTGTGGGTTTTTTTTTAATGTTTATTTATTTTTGAGAGCGAGAGAGTGTGTGTATGTGTGTGTGTGAGAGAGAGAGAGAGAGAGAGAGAGAGAGAGAGAGAGAGAGCAGGGGTGGGGCAGAGAGAGAGGGAGACACAGAATCCGAAGCAGGCTCCAGGCTCTGAGCTGTCAGCACAGAGCCCGACGCGGGGCTCGAACTCACGAACCGTGAGATCATGACCTGAGCCGAAGTCAGATGCTTAACAGACTGAGCCCCCCAGGCGCCCCGCTACCAAGTGCGTTTGTACATTATGTCCGTATGTAATTTTTTCACCAATAGCGGCCCTCATTCTGTAAAGGATTTGAAGCAACTTACAAAAACACACTAGAGCAGCATAAAGTTGGAAGAAAAAGAAATGGGAGCAAAGCACAACTAGAAAAAGCAAAACCGAACACTGGAAATGCAGGTAGGACAGATAAATGGGAGCCGGGGCATGTGCAGTTTCCAGGACCTTAGTCAGAGCAGTGTGGCCAAAGCAGGCGAGGCCTGGGGAGGCAGAGGCAAAGCAGGATGTTTCCAAAGTATGTTCCACTGAATCCTGCTTCTCCTGACTCACTCTGGATGTGCTGGAAATTTGCACAGACATGTTTGCAAAGTATAGAGGGCCAGAGATTTCTACCTTTCTGCCCACTTCTGTTCTCTCTTGCCTCCAAAGAAGTGAACATGAATCTGGCTGGGACAGATTCCAGATTCCAGGATACCGCCGAGGACATCTTTTCCAGCGGGTGGGGTGTGTGTGCCTACCAGGTGCTGCACACGCACGGGACTGCCTGCCACCAGTCCCTGCCCGTCCTCCCTCTCTCCCTCCCTCGCTTTGTGGGGCAAAGTGGCTGTGGGGCATGGCTGTCCTCTGCTCTTGGCCTCCCAGGGGGCACAGTGGCCCAGACAAGGCTGGACACAGACTACAAGAGCCCGCTCTGGTGTCTCCTCCCTCTCCTCTCCCTGCCCTTAAGCAGCAGGCAGGCCCAGGCCACCACTCAGCTGGGCAATGACATTAATGTGCCAGCTTCCTTTGCTTATAAGCACAGGTCTTTGGCATTCCTCAGGGGTACTTCTGTTAAGTTCACAAGAAAGCCCTAGTCTGCAATATCATGCATCAGCCCAGATAACAACAGGCTGCAGTTTTAGCTTGCATTTCCCACTGTCTTGTTTTTTCTCTATCCTCGCTAGAGAATCAATCTCTCTGGGATAACGTATCCTGGACCGAGACCATCTATGCCGATCAGACAATCCCTGGTTCCTAACACAGGGGTAGAGTTGTTTTCTTTTTCTTCCATACGACCCGTGGGATGAGAAGATTCTGGCCTCCCTCCTTTCTCTGTTTTCCCACCCAGATTTAGGCCAAGTAGGTGGTAATCTCTGAAGCGAAGTCAATGCTTTCTTTTTACTGGAAAAACTCCTCGCCATTTTGCTAAGTGTGCTGAGATCTCACACTTGGAATCAGGGAGTGACTCGTAGAGTCCTGAGCACAATCCAGTGCTAGAAGTTACTCTGCTACCTTGCCCCTGCTTGCCAAAGTCTACCAAACCCCCATCTTTGAACGCTAATAGGCTGTCCACTACTTTATGTTCAGGTAGGTCACATAACCAATCTCAGATTGATCCTATTTCTGTGAAGTTTCTTCACTGGCAACTCATTCTCTGATACCAACTTATAAGCAGCTGGAGTTTTGGGGTATGAGTAATCAAAACTGATAATGGCTAACTCGGACAGAAAGTCAATTTCTTAGAAGTGTATCAAGTAACTCCCAGAATTTATAAGAAGGCCAAAGACTGGGATAAGAAAATAAGCAGTCTGGGCAATAAGATCCCCAGCCCAGGTCATTCCATGGACCTCAAGTACATAGTGTGGGGGCATTGATCTGGTAAATGTTTTCTTTCCATCCTGGTTAGAAAAGGAGGATCGGAAAGAGTTTTAGTTCCTGCATGACAGATAAGAACATTCGTGTACAGTTTTGTCTTGGGCGTTATATTAACTCACCTGCCCCTTGTCATAAGATAGTCCAAAGACATCTGGGTCCCCCGGATATCCCATAGAACATCACACTTATCAGCTACGTTGGTGACATCATGGTGATCGGACAGGATGAACAAGAGTCGGCCAGCACACCTGCTAAAGAGGAATCAATTACCGACCCTCAGCAACAGAGGTGAATGTCAACAGCATTATGATGACCCAAAGAAGTCACACGTCAAAATTCACGTACTGCATGTTTTCGTTTATGTAAAACTTTGATACAGGCAAAACGAATCTGTACTAACAGCAAGTGCATCAGTGGTTGCCTGATGACGAGGTTGGGGAGAAGGCTATCTATCTGCAAAGGGCACGAAGGAACTTTCTGGAATGATGGAAATGGCCTACGTCATGATTGTAATTACGATTACATTTGTTAAAACTCAACCACTTAAATGTACACTTGAGATGAATGCATTTTATACCCCAATAAAATTGAGCTAAAAAAGAATTGTACACGATTTTAGTAAATTCTCAGAATATATGTCACTGAATATGGTAGCTGACGTTTTCCCATTATTACCATTTTCCCAAGCAGGAGTCCCTTAGATAGAAACATCTTTTATCTTATTTACATCTTTTTCTAGGCTAATCGTCTGGCATTCTGTTTCCACTCCTTTGCCTTTGCGTAATCTACCTCTGGGCAGGCTAAAGGAGGAGATCCTTGTTTCCAGGCTGGGATGTCCATGAAGGGGTTTCCCAGGTAAGTGGAGGGTTTCAGGTAAATGAAGTGTAACAAGGGCACAGTGGACTGAACTCCTCTCCCTGTTCCTGTCCTGGCATTTCGCGGTGCTGCTTGCTACCTTCCTGTGGCTCCCGAGCCTCTGTCATCCTTACAGGAGTGACCTACCAGCACCAGGGCTGAGCCTATTGACCTAGAATGTGCTCATGTGGGATATGCTGTGCTGGTGCCTCTGTAGCAAGCAGGTGAACCTAGGTTTCGAGGCTTCTTAGAAGCCAGAACCATTTTTCCCACCTTTTATCTGAGGAGCTTTTGGGTGTCCTGGTAAGGGGAGCCCATGGGTTGAATCCATTTGAGAATTATTGATTCCAATTAAGTTAAACGGATTTCTATGTCATAGGGTCTCTCACAGACATTATGTGCCAATGTGCATAAGGCATCTTTATTTTTATTTTTTTTCAATGTTTATTTTTGAGAGAGAAAGACAGAGTGCGAGCGGAGGAGAGGAAGAGAGAGAAGGAGACACAGAATCTGAAGCAGGCTCCAGGCTCTGAGCTGTCCGCACAGAACCCGATGTGGGGCTTGAACCCACAAACTGAAATCATGACCCGAGCCAAAGTTGGACACTTAATGGACTGAGCCTCCCAGGCGTCCCTGCACATAAGGCATCTTTAAGGGTGTGTGTGGAGGGCGTATCCCATCTTCCTTGAAGTGGCTGTTCTAGAGTCTTCTCCCGGCCCTGGCTCTGCCTTAGACCTGACTTCCTCACGCTCCTGGCGCCCAAATGCCTGCCTGCCCCCCGGCCATTTTCCTGCCCAGAGGAATGATTTTCCTCTATATGATTTCAGTTTATATTCAGGTTCCCTTTTGTCCCGACTTTCTTAGGCAATAATTTTATCCTGACAAATTATAGGCATTTCTGGGTCACCTCCCCTCCCCGTCTGGGTTTTGTTTGTTTCTTAAAGTTCGATGATTTCTAGTAAATTCATCCAGTTGTGTTACCAGCACCCCGATTCAGCATAGGAACATTTTCATCTCCCAAAAGTACAGGAGGGGGAAATAGCCTGGGGGAATAGAAGTGAGTAGGGAAGCACTCAGATAGTGGATCCCCAGCTCCTGTCCGTGGATCCTGGGGCTGGGCCCTGATGCCTCCTCCCCTCTGGACACCCCTCGTCAGGCTACCCCATGACGGGACCCCCCACCGCTTCCCCTAAATGCCCCGGCAACCTCACAAGTGTCCGGACGGACGGAGATGGAGGGAGGCGGCAGGCACTGCCTCCAGCTTCCTGCACGATCAGCTCCAAATACTTTCACTTTTCTTTCCTCCGGAAGCCTGGCCCCCCACTGCATGTGGCAAAGCACAGACTTCCTGCTTCACCCACTGGTGTCCCCCTGCTGTTCCCTCCGCCTTCCAGGAGCCATCCCTGCCCCAGCCCCTGACCAGGGAAGGGGCAGGAGCAGGTGGCAAACCCAGCCTCCAGGTGGGTTTTTGTCTCGGCTACTTTATTCTTCATTTGGGGTGATCAGGCTCTGATAGCTAATTTCCTGACAGCAGCTACAGAGTGGAACTCAGCTATTTTAAACTGTGAGACTCTCTCCTTGTAAAATACTGTCTTCCAAAGATACAGAGGTATGTGGGGTTTAACCAGAGACCATGAAAAAGGGGGACAGACTTGGGAGTCGGGGGCGGGGGGAGCAGAAACACAGCTCAACTCCTTTTGCCCTAAAGTCTAGCCCGTTGTTGTGGATGAAAGGGAGATTTGCTCTCTACCCTCCTCCTCTGTGCTCTGTTGATTCTGCACTCAGCCCCAAATGGGCAGCTCATTTATTATCCACAGTGCAAGTGACCAGATGTGGTTGGTGGAAAAAAGAAAATGAGGAGGAAACCCTTCATTTCTTCCCTAGTGTTTCATGAGATTTTTATATATTTTCCTTAAGCACATTTTTGATTGTTTCCTTGAAGTGCATTCCTAGAGGTGGAATCTGGGACTCAAGGGAATCCATATTCTAGGGCGTTTGACCCTGATTGCTAACTTCGCCTCCAGAACATTTGGATCTGTTTACATTTGCACCAGGAGCATCTGTGGTTATTGCGATTAGTCTTTATGTTGGGCAATCTGATAGGCAAATGCTATTAAATCGTCTTCTTTTGTACTGTTCCAGCTACTAGAGAATTGCCATGCTTTTCATATATTTATTGCACATTTGACTTAATTGCCTAGTTAAGCCTTTTGCTTTTTTTCCCCATATGGATGTTTGTCTTTTGCTTATTCATTTTTAAGACTCGTTCCCATAATAAAAATCTGAACACTCCCATATGAGACCCTATATCATGCACTAGCTTTAGTGGGGCTTTATTCAGACAAGCTCTGCTTTGCCACCTTGGGCTATTTACTTAACCTCTCTGTGCCTTGCTCTCACTCTTGAGAACCATAATAGTTGAAGAATAAGGAAGCTGGTGGATCTTATGTTCTGAATGCTGTTGTATAATCATCCTAAACGTAACCTCAGGGTCACTTCCTCTTGTTACCATGTGACCATTCTGGATTTCTGGGGCTCTGTGCTTACCTTTGCAACTTTCTTCCCCACATCATGGATTCTGTCCGCATCCTGGTTGCTAGATTTCTCTTCCACCTGTTCTCAATCTCCAGTATTTCTTCATGATTATAGACCCCCTGCGGCATCTTTTCTTTTCCAGCACTATTGTGGATTACTTTACTCTTACAATATGTTTTGGTTTTTTTCCTTCTGTCAAATGTAAATGATGTGGGAATGAGGAGAGAGCAGGGCTGCTCAATCTACCACTGGGATTAATCCTGGAAACAGTCATTAGTTACCGTTCAGTTTTCTATTATACACAAAAGGAAGTAGGAAAAACAGGATCTCTATTTCATTTAAAAAAAAAAAATCTCTGGGTGATTGAGTTTTTCTGTTTACACTTCTATTCCCTTGACAAGTTGTCAGGAATTCATCTGTAGGTTTTCTGCCTCTAATGATTATTGATATTTTCTCATGACCTATCAATGGCTAATTTGTATCAATGTCGCATGGGATGGGAAACGCACATGTCTGTTCTGCGATATGTAATTGATACATATAATAAATCAGCTAAGTAGCCTTTTACTAATCACGTCTTTTTTTAATTTTTTTTTCAACGTTTTTATTTATTTTTGGGACAGAGAGAGACAGAGCATGAATGGGGGAGGGGCAGAGAGAGAGGGAGACACAGAATCGGAAACAGGCTCCAGGCTCCGAGCCATCAGCCCAGAGCCGGACGCGGGGCTCGAACTCACGGACCGCGAGATCGTGACCTGGCTGAAGTCGGACGCTTAACCGACTGCGCCACCCAGGCGCCCCTATCACGTCTTATACCTCCTTCGTGTCTATTTATGTTTGGCTTATTTGTGTGTTGAAGGTTGTAGGTGGTTTACTCAAGTTTCCAAATATTATCGGGCTTCTATCTTTCTACTCATCATTGGGTGGTCCCTCTTACATGAGCTTTGCTAGTGTCTGTCGTAAGGTGCGGTCCAGACAACCTTAACTCTGTTCAGTGTAGCCACAGACCATAGTACTTATGACCATAAACCTAGAAGCGGAACATCGGAATGTGTTCACCTCTATCACTTCCAAGTTGTGCGATTTAGGGCAAGTTCATAACACATCTCTATGTCTCCATGTCCTTCACAATACAATGGGTGAAATCATAGAAACCATCTTGCAAGGGTTTTGTGACGATCAAATAAGTTACTGCATGTGAAACCTTTATAATAAAGTCCAGCACATAGGAAATACTCAATAAATATTAGTGACTTTTATAGTTTTTAATTTTTTAAAATTTTTTAGTTTATTTTTGAGAGAGAGAGAGCAGGGGAGGGGCAGAGAGAGAGAGAGAGAGAGAGAATCCCAAGCAGGCTCCACACAGTCAGCGCAGAGCTCGATGTGGGGCTCAAACTCACAAATTGCAAGATCATGACCTGAGCCAAAATCAAGAGTTGGACACTTAACTGACTGAGCCACCCAGCTGCTCCTATAAGCTATTTTTAATATCTGTCTCATATTTACCAATACCCCTTTGAGATTTCAGCAACCTATTGTTGGTCAATTTCAGCCTCCATTGTCCTTGGACGTTGTCATTGCCTCTTACACCCATGAGCCTTTGAGGAAGACTGCTACAGGATGACTTTGGGACCAGGATGGTGATCTGAAAATGCCCACTGAGCACAAACAGCAGCTCCCCGAGTTCCCAGAGTCTTTCCTCTCTTCTCGTGCCTCTTCCGTAGGATGTTCACCATGACCAGAGCCTTAGAAGAGACTCTACGCCAGCACTTCATATACCAGAAGCTGGAGATTGCCTATGCCATACACAAGCCATTTCCCTTCCTCGAAGGCCTCCGAGACAACTCCTTCATCACTGAGAAGATGTACAGGGTGAGTCGTGCTGACTGCTTTTCCGTGGCAGCCCAGCCCCCCCACCAACAGTTACTGAAGTTTCAAACCACAAACCCTTAGAGCTTGGAAGGTCTAGTCCAAAATGTTCATTCTCAGGGAAAGATGGGGTTACAAGGGCAGCCGTACAAACGACTTCGCCCCACGTGCCTTAAAACGAGAGAAATTTATTCCCTCACAGCTTGGGAAGCCAGAAGTACAAAATCAAGGTGGCGGCCACGTTGGTTCCTTCTGAAGGCTCCAAGAGAGAGCCTGTTCCCTGACTCTCCTACCTTCTGGTGGCACCAGAAATCCTTGTAGAAACTTCACTTCCAATCTCTGCTTCCATCTCTACATCAATCTCTCCATCAGCTTTTCTTTCCCCCATTTTTTCTTTTTCTCTTCTCTTCTAAGGACACTTGTTATTGTGTGTTAGAGCCCACCCTAATCCAGGATGATCTCTTCTCAAATTCTAACTTAATTACATCCGCAAAGACCCCTTTTCCAAATGAGGTCACATTCACAGGTTTCAAGTGGACACAACTTACTGGAGGGTGGCACCATTCAACCCACTAAGGGTACCCTCCCAATTCTTAAGAGCTTGTTGTACGCAGTCCTTTCAGACTTGAAGCAAAGCAGGCATTGGAAGATATGGCTATATGGACAAAAATGGCATTCTTTTCATGATTTTTGTTTTTTATGTATTTCCTGAGCCCTAAGCCCAAGGAAGGGCAGCAGTGGTTGAGTGTTCTTCTCCCAGGCTTGGCCTGGTTGGCTCCAACCCTTCTTCGGGTCATAGCCCGGATGTCACTCCTCAGAGAGGATTCCTTAACCCACTCATCTAATTGATTTCCCATAGAAATCTATGCTTTCCCTTCATAACACTTCTCTCAAAAGCAACGGGGCATTTCTTTAATTTGTGTTTATTATTGAATGCTCATCTTGTCTACCCGACAATGTCCCTTCCGTCACTATGGGTAGCACCACGCTGGTCTTATCCACTGCTATATACCCAAGGACAAGCCTAATAGGTGCTCAGTAAGTGTTGTGCAATCAATTCTCCTGCCATGTTTCTCCTCTTGGCCAACTTCTCAGGAAGAGGAGTTCTCTGGATGATTTCCTTGTTGGCTAGAACCCATTCAGGCCATCTCAAGTCAAAGAGAGAGAGTAAGAGAGAGACAGAGAGAGAGACAGAGAGATCAAACAGAGGCTAACAAGCGATCAACAGAATTGCCACTTGTGACCAACTAATTGGTCCTTTGCTACAGAGTTCTGCCCAGAGCCTGGGAGACATAGTTACATAGTAGGAGCCTTTGACTACCTTCCCTTCCCTCAAATTTCTCTCTGCCCTCAAATATACCTAAAATAAGGTTCACAAAGCAGACTTATTTTAAAGACGGCTAAGTTATTTATTCCTACGACCAACCATCCAAAAATAGGTGAAGTTCTGGAAGTAAATATGTGTAACTATGACTTCTCTGCCTTCGAGTCTACCTATACGTTTGTGTTAAATTCCTTGTTAGAAGAATGAAATACTACTCTTACGCTGTAGCAAACCACAAACGTAAAAGAAACTTCCATTCCATTTTATGATTATTCATCACCATCCTTGATGCCATTTTTTAAGGAATCCATGGAAGCCTACAGAAGTCAGGTCCCTGTACCCAGACTGGTGTACAATATCCTCAGCCACCTGGAGAAGATGTTCAACCTGTCATTTCTGCAGATGCTCTTCAGCCGAATTAACCTGCGTGAATACCCCCACCTGACAAGGATCCTCAAGAGCTTCAGAAGTGGTATGAGTCTTTCCGAATATCTCTCGGGCTGTAGGAGCAGGGACCAGAAGTTGCTCCAAGTGTGGGTTGGCTTTCAGCCCTGTGGGCGGTGCCCCTCAACTGGCCGGTTCTCTGGGGAGATAGGAAGCTGACTCTCTCGCAGTGCGGCAGGAAGAGCCGTCTCTGGCCCCACTTCTCTAAGATGAATTTCTAGAAGACACAAACATTTCTGTCTTACCTGTTCTATGAAGTGGGGGAAAGCTGTACCGTTTAGCACCCTGGACAGTCTCTAGGGAAGGAAAAATGTGACTGAAATGCAGTTACAGAGACTCAGTCTGGCAGAAGGATAAGGAGGGCCAGAGGGGAAGGGAAATGAATAGGGATGGATAATAAGTATCTCTCTCTCTTTTTTTTTTTTTTTGAGTACTTACTATGTACCAGGCATCGTCCCAAGCACTGTATAGGGTTATCTCACATCATCTTTATTTTTTTTAACATTTATTTATTTTTGAGACAGAGAGAGACAGAGCATGAGTGGGGGAGGGTCAGAAAGAGAGGGAGACACAGAATCCGAAACAGGCTCTAGGCTCTGAGCTGTCAGCGCAGAGCCCGACGCGGGCCTCGAACTCACAGACCTCGAGATCATGACCTGAGCCGAAGTCGGACGCCCGGCCGACTGAGCCACCCAGGCGCCCCCTCTCACATCATCTTTAAAACAACCCTGTGATGTCATTATCAGCCCCACCTGACATGTGAAGAAAGTATAGCTCAGAATAACCTTCCCCAGGTTACTTGCCTGTGAAGAGCAGAGCAGGCGTCCTACTGGGTCTCCTAACTCTGGGGCCTGAGCTCTCAATCCCTCTTCCCAGCAAGGCGGAAGACGCCGCCTAAAGCTGGAGGAGAGGGGAGAGGGAGCTGGAGACAGAGGGTATGAGAAGGAAAGGGAACGTGGAAGCACGCTGTGAACGCGAAAGAGCTGGACAAATACAGAGCAGGAGAAAGAGCGAGGACAGAGCTGGGAAGAAAGAAGCCAGGGCAGGAGGAACAGGTGACACCATCGTTTTGGGCTTGCGGATCAACACTTTGGCCAAGGCGCACGATTCGCTTCCCCGAGAACAACAGGAAGAGGACCGGCGGCTCACACTGCACTGGGACCTTACTGTGAGTGGGGTCAGCGCTGTTGACAGCAAGAGGTTCCTCCCCAGGAGAAATGACTCCTTGAGCTAAAGGGGCGGCAGGGCGCAGGTGCACGCGGGCCGGTGCTCCCGGCGGCAGCCAGGCAACGCGGGGAGGCCTGGGTTCTCAGAGGCCACGCTAAGTCAGTCCGAGGGCCAGAGGCACCACACCCCGCTGTGCTCCCCGACCCGGCCGAGCTCGAGCGTCTTTCTGGATCTGTAGCCCTAGGCTCGTGTTCTGAGCCCCTCTCCAGAATCCCAGCTTGTTTTCCTTTTTCTGTTCACTGGTTGAGACGACTTAACTTCTGAAATAAATGATGGAGAAGAATCGTAAGAGAAACCTGGCCACGGGAGGCATAGCGTGCAGAAAGGAGAGGGCCTGGGGTATTGAGGATGGGGAGGAAGTTTGCTGTGGCCCATCCCAGGGTGCAAGGCAGGGAGGCACAGCAGCGCAATCTGCACAAATGAGCAGAAACCAGAGTAGACAGAATGCACCTTGTGAAGGAATCTCTATTTTATCTTCTTTGCTACAGGGAGGTGTGATGTGTTTACTTATTAAAACAGGGACACGTATTCGAATTGTACCATTGTACAAGATAGTCTAAATTCTGAAACCAAAATTAAAGAAAAACTTAAGAAGATTAAGTCCCTGAGGACTAAGTCAACTTCATGTGTGAAACGACTTTGGTCTTAGCCCAGAGATTGGATGCAGTTATATTTGAACTGAATGCCCCAAATCAGTAGCACAGAGTAGAAATGGACCACGAGTGGATGATGCTGGTGATGAATCCGTTCTCCACACCTAGGGGAGAATGAACCAACCACCCCATGCCCCTGACCCTTTGGAAGTCACGTGTGAAGAAATTCCCTTCCCCAAATAATTCTTGGTTTTTTTTTTTTATTTTATTTTTAATGTTCTTTTTTTTTTTTTTTTTTTTTTTTGGGGGG